GGTGCCATTGAATCTACCTTGGGAGGTGCCCTGGGGGACCACATCCCCTGGAACAAAGGGGTGTGGTCTGGGGGTACTGTCCCTACACCAATACACCCCACCAATACCTGGCTCCAGGGTTCGGGGCTCGGGCTGACTCCAGGAGGCCAGGTTAGACCACCTGGGCTAAACCACGCTCAGCCCACCCATCACCTAAGCTTGCCATTGCAGCCCCAGGGCCACCACACAGTCCAGGCCACCATGACTCTACCCTTTGTGCCCTACAGCCAGTCTCCCACACTCTAGGTAGAACAAATGGTCAAGAGGACAAACTCAATTCCCTCTAGTGCATCCTACTCTCCGTGTCTCTCGGGCCAATTTGAGGCCTTTTGTGACTGGGTCGCTGGACGCCCTACCTCCCCCAGGCAGAAGCCCTCCTGCTCTGACCACAGGGATCCATAGGGCCATTTTCTCAACCATGCTGCTCCATGAATAAGCCTTTCTCCTGCTAAGTCCCTGCTCTCTCTTCAAGTCTTCCAAGATGTTACTTGTTCTCCTGGCACCTCTCCCCCCACCCCCCGCCCCACCCCAGCTGCCAGATGCACCATCCCAGCTGAGTCCCTGCTCTCTCTTCAAGTCTTCCAAGATGTTACTTGTTCTCCTGGCACCTCTCCCCCCACCCCCCCCACCACCCCAGCTGCCAGATGCACCATCCCAGCTGGGATCCTGGTACATCACGACACTCAGCGTCTGTGACAGGTGCCAGGTGCCTGGCAGAACACATGCTCCGTGAGCACACGGGGACAATGGGATGGGAGAGGCAGCAACTGAGATGCCCTGAGTACCTGAGGTTCACAGGATGGAGGAGACCCTTTCCCTGGACACAGACTCACTGAACACCGCACCGTCATACCACAGCAGTCAGCAAGTAAAGGCTGGGATTCAGACGAACTCAAGGCCGACCCTGACTGTGACACTGGACAAATTTACTAAATCTAAGGTTCAGTTTCCACATCTGTAAGATGGGCACTGTGCCAGGTGCTGGGCAGGTCACAGTGAACAGGCAGACACAGTCGCAGCACCCACAGGTCCTCTGTGGGGAGGGATTGAGACCTGGAGCTGATTGAGACCCTGCTGAGGAACAGCTGAGGGGCAGCATCCTGGAAGGGGCTGGACTGGGGAGGACAGAAGATGCACGGGTGGGGGAGGGGCTGCTGGCTGCGGTGGGAAGTCCGACTTTAGTTTGCTCAAAGTCCCCAGTGGGTAGGGAAAAGAAGTCCCCAGTGGGCAGGAAGGAAGCTGGAAGCAGATCATGGCCAAACAGGTTACTAGGGACAGCATGGGCCAACCTCCATTCTAGAGAAAGGAGGCTCAGAGAAAGGAGGAAGTCATTGGGGTCATGGGACTGTGCTGGGCCTGGCCTCCCGCACACCAGCTGCAGCTGCCTGTCCCTCCCACGCTACTATAGGCTCCTCTGGTTCCAACTGAGGCCAGACCTTCAGTGCCCACAGCCACACTGTGCACCCCAAAGCCATCTTTTTTTCAGTCCATCTGCTTGTCTGCCCTGTGTTGGCCTCTTGGTCTCCCCTGCGGCCTGGCTACACCTCTGGTCACTGATCTGTCCTGCTGCAGCTGTCATGGCAGACCTAGTGCCAAGGCTCCACCAAAGCAGCCACAGCGAGGGCTCCCTCCAGCCCAGAGACCCCGGAGCCTGGGGCTGGCTGCCTGGTCCCCTTGGGGTTTTGCTCCTGGCTGCCCCTGCAGGGGACACTAGTGCTCCATTGAGAGGATCTCTCAAAGACAGCCCCTGCCTCTCTACAGGCCCTGCCTCCTGCACTGGGAGTCAACAGTGGCTCCCTCCAGCTTCTTGGGTCTAACCCTAATCTCTCCTGCTGCAGTAAAGTGCACTTTTGTCAGCTGAATCTGTCGAAGTCCAGAAGACAGGGCGTCCTCTCCTTAGAGAAGTAATTCAAGTCTCTGCTGCCCCTCCTCCTGGCCTCCCCATTGTCTCCCATTCCAACCCAATTCTGAAGAGATGGTACTCAGCCAGGCCTGCATGTGGCCACCCCTATCGCCCAACTAACTCCATGGTCCTCACAACCCAGGCAGAGGTTCTGATCCAATTTATCAACATGGTCACACCCTCAGTTCAGAAGACTGAGCCAGGCAGGGGCTGCAAAGGACCTCAGAAATTAATCTGTCCAATCCCTTCCTGTTGATAATATATATACGTGAGTATGTATATGTCACCTATATACATCCAAGAAGGAAAAGGGGGGAATAAAGAGAAAAAAGACCCCTCATAATCCCACAACCAAGAGTCAAGGATTTTGTCAACTACCTCACTTAAAAGTGCAGAAATAGGTCCAGAAGGAGAAAGTAATTCACCCAAAGCCACACTGCAAGTGACACAATAGGACTAGAAACTAAATCTCTGGCCGTGCCCTGTGCCGTTCTGCACCCCCAGCCTCTGGACACTTCTCTTCGGCTGCACCCCCTCATCACCCCCCAGCCACCTCCACCATACCCTTCTCTAAAGGAATCCAGTGTCAGCTACATACGGGGTCCATGAAGTCAAGAATACTGTCACTGACATGTCTGTGCCTGATGCTTGTGCGGTCCTGAGGCACAGCCACCAAGACACAGCATCCCCCTGGACATAGCCCTCCATCACTAAGCCAGTGAGGCATAGATCTCTTCTTGGTTTTCTCTGCCAAGGGGCTTGGCTGCAAATGACCCCTGTCCTCAACCCCAGAGAAAGTGTGGGTGCATGAGGAGAAAGGAGAGCATAAATTATAAGTTGAAAGATGGGCCTCCTTTATAACAGGAGGGATTCAAAGTAGAGCTCAGAAAGAACTTCCAGGTGGGAGAAATGATTTGGGAAACTGGTATAGGGGAAAGGGAATGTGCAAATAGGAGCCCCGCCCCTATCTAGAACCAGGGCAGCTGAGAGCCAAAGGCGACCCGGGAGTGACAGGGGGACTCTTCAGACTGGGGGTTGGAGGAGAGACAAGTAGAGTCTCCCTGGGCCCCCGCCTCTCGACGGGTTCCAAACAGGTAGGAGAAAAGAAGTGAGGCCGCCGCTGCCTTTGCCCAGGGAGACCCTGGGTCCCCTCCCGCTGGTGGCTCCTGCCCGGCCGCCTACCGCCTACCGGGCCGGGGTCAGCCCGGAGGAGGAGGCAGAGAAGGGAGAAGAGCCTCGTCGGCCCCCTCCGCAGAAGCCAGCCTCGCCCGGAGTGACAGGGGCCCCTCGGAACTCCCTCACTGTCCCCTTTGGGGCCACAGTTCACTGCCTCCCAGAGTCGCCCCTCCTGGGGTCCCTGGGGCGTCGTCCAGGAGGGCAGCGGAGGTCGGGCATCGCTGTCCAGCGCCCCGCCCTCCCTCACGCCCGGGTGTTGGGCCGGCGGGGTCCCGTCC